TGGCCATGTTTTATACCTCAAATCTGAATGGTCACACACACTCTTATGCATGCACACAGACTCCAAAAACAAACGTACCAACCAAGTTTTATGTTCCAACCATGACAGAGAAGACACAGAACCATACCTGGGGTGTTCCTCCGACAATATACCAAGCAAGCTGTTGGTGGGACAAGGTCACACCGAAGTTAATGGCCGCCGGCGAAGATCCAACCTACAACAGAGTAGCTTTGCTTTGCTTTGCTTTGCTAGAGTCTTTTAGCTAGTCTTATGAGACTAGCTTTGCTTTATATAATACAATAACTTTCCCTATCGGCTGTAACTAGAGAAGAAAGAATAAGTCATGTAACTTCTATCAGCTGTGAACACGTGAAGTTGGCTGTACAGCCCGTGACCACTGCATGTACAGCCCGTGGCCTCTGCATGTACAGCCCGTGACTTCTGTTCATGACTTACCTCCTTCTGTCGTGTTTAGAATATATAATTTGTCAAATAATGAAGATTTTAGATAACGGTTCCAGCAATAACCGCTATTACAGTTCTTGGAAACTTCTACAACCACCTACCAGCTGCAGAAAACTTGTACCCAAATTCCAGGTACAACACAATACAAAAGAATTAACAGTAATTGAAAAGAAGAGACTTAGAAAGCTCAAACCGGATTACGTTAATCCACTGTAAGTTTCTTCTTTTAAAGAATGCAATATGCCTCAAGAAAGATTTTCAAAAAGCTTCACAAAATAGTTGCGTATCTTTCTTGAAAAGGATGCTAATAGTTGCTTGAATTTGATTGCCTAGGATGTGTAAAAACTTAATGATTAAAAAGTTCCAAGCAACTCTGATTTTAAAGAGTAATTTCAAAACTGCTGCATTAATTAATCTGTTGAAAGTTTGTTTTAATCTGTTGAAATAGCCGTTATAATCTGTTAAAAGTCCTTTCAACCCATTAATGCGTTCTTGTTTCTTTATCAAAATTGTTTTAGTTGATACAACCACGTTTATATCAGTTAAAACATTTTACAAACATTTTCTAAGTGTGATTCAATCGATTGATTTGCGTTTTAATCGATTGATTTACTTTAAAACTTTCTTATAAAACTTTTCAAGTTATTTTAACTGATACAAAGAAGTTTTAATCGATTAAAAACCTGCACAGAATTTTTCAAAGTTGTTTTAATCGGTTGAAACGCGTTTTAATCGATTGAAACTCTGTACAAAGATTTTCCAAGTTATTTTAATCGATTGAAATGCGTTTTAATCGATTGAAACAGATCTGATCGGTCATAACTGCACTCTGATCGATCACTTTTTCAATTCCTCGAGACCTTAGATAGCGGTTAAACTGGAACCGCTATCATATGTTCACATCTGATAGCGGTCCCAGATTAACCGCTATCTAAAGGCTCCAGAATTTGAATTTATTTTGATGTATAATTATATTTACATATATATATATATATATATATATATATACATATTCTAAAATATAATTTATATTAATTACTATAATATAAAATATATATTCCACAATATAACTTATTTTCATTTTTATAATTTGTATATATATTATAAAAATGAAAATAAATTATATTTTAGAAGATATAATTTTGCAAATGATCGATCACTTTTCCAAAATGATCGATCACTTTTTCAAATCCTCGACACTTTTAATAAATTATCCATATTTTAACATTGATTATATATTTAAAAAACATAATATTCAAAAAAATATTTTAAGATTCAGTCTCGGGTTGTATTTCGCTCGAGCGATTATACTCTCGCTCGAGCGAAATATGATCCTGATCGATCATAATTTGAAATGATCGATCATAATTGGAGGATATAATAGCGGTTCCTCATGAATCGCTTATCTAAAGTGTATATTAGATAGCGGTTAAGGTTTAACCGCTATTATAAGCTCCCTTTAAGAGCGGTTCCAGTGGAACCGCTTATCATATACAACCATATTTTAAGTTTCTTGAGTCTCGGGTTGTGTTTCGCTTGAGCGACTATATCTCGCTCGAGCGAAATTTGATTCTGATCGATTAGATTTTCGAAATGATCGATCATATTTGATAATTTTTTCAAATAATTAATTCTAATTGATTATTTTTTAAATTATTGATTAGAATTGATTAGTTTTTCAAATAATAGCTTAGAATTGATTAATTTCTGAAATATATATTAAAAAATTATAATTAAAAATATAGATTATTTAAGAATATTAACTATTGTAAAGATAAAGTAGAACATGGGAGGAGATAAGGATGATAATATAATGATAGAAGTTACAAAAATGTAGAATTGAGAAGTTTGAAACAAAAAAAATTAAGAAAATAGAGATTTAATTACACTTTTAATAAATTGAAGATAATTACAATATAATTTTCTACTTTGAGAATGAACAATATAATTAAGAAGATCAAGTGTAATGTTATTGATGCTAATTTTAACAATAATACAATAATATTATTTTTGAAAATGCCCATATGAATGTGAATATTTTGATTATTATTATATAAAATAATTAAAAGAATAAGGTAAATAGAAAAGTAAAATGCATGGTTATACCACTTTCCTTTTAATCTATAATTAGTTAGGTATGAATCAAATGTAAAGTCTAATGTTATTGATGCTAATTTTAAGAAGATCACAAAATGTAAATTAAAATAATTACAATATAAATTTCTACTTTGAGAATGAACAATATAATTAAACTCAAAATTGAGAATACTCTTATACATTTTTGAACTCTTTTGGATAAATTTTGTTTTCCTAATTTTTGATAAAGTTAATTTTAATATTTAAAAGTATTTAACATTTTGAATTCTGAAAGGTTTTCTCTAATAGCAAATTTAAAAACATAATATTCAAAAAAATATTTTAAGTCTCGGGTTGTATTTCGCTCGAGCGATTATACTCTCGCTCGAGCGAAATACCATCCTGCTCGATCATAATTTGATATGATCGATCATAATTGGAGGATATAATAGCGGTTCCTCTGTAACCGCTATCTAAAGTATATATTAGATAGCGGTTATGGTTTAACCGCTATTACAAGTTGTTTTTAAGAGCGGTTCTGGGGGAACCGCTATCATATACAACAAGTTTTTTGATTGTTTGATCATATCTGAAAATATATAATAGCGGTTAGGATTTAACCGCTATTAGAAGTGCTATATAATAGTGGTTAAGTTTTAACCGCTATTAGAAGTGCTATTATAATAGCGGTTAAGATTTAACCGCTATCATATATTGCATAAATTAGAGGAGGCGTGCATGCACTGTGTGTTCACATGCAGGAAATGGAGAAGGGTATTTAAGTCATTTATCAGTTGATGATGTGTCTTTCTCTGCTATCCTCTCAAATCCTCTCATAAATTAGAGGAGGCGTGGATGCACTGTTTCCTTCCCTCTCCCTCAAATTCGCGCCTGTAAATCCTCTCATATCAGTGGCAACAAACGAATAACATCCCGCTTTTCTATCCTTTAAAACAGTAAATCACTTGCAACAAACAGAGACTTAGTGAGATTTGAGGTCGAATTTATACTCTTCCACCGTATCTAACAATTAAAATGTGTTTTGAAAAAACAAATTGATTTACGCACGCAAAAGCTAGAACAAGAATTTATATTGTGGATTATTTTAAAACATGCGCGTAATCATTGAAGATATGCTTTTGATTATTTAATTATGAAATTATTGAACTATTATATATTTTATGTGAATGAAAAAAATATTAAAACAACAATAATTTCTTAGACAAAAGCAGATGTTTCTGTCACATAGTATAAAACCATGAAAGACACACTGTTTAAAGCATGAATAGTTGCATCGTGACCCTCGTTCTCGTCCTTCCAATAATTATTTGATTTCATTGCCAACAAAAACGAATTCGCCAGATGTTTTGGTAATCAATTAAAAAGTGAACAGTAGTGAACAGTAGAAAGAGTAAGTGACGCCGGAGTTTTCGAAAACTGTATGAAATCATATGAACAGTGTAATATAAGTGTTTGATTGCAACTTGCACGCTGAAGGAAGAGAACAAGTATCACAGTCACACTGAACCTATTATTAATAGACTCGCATTTTTCATATGGGCTTGAAACTATTGAGATAAATTTTCTGAAAATATTTTTAGAAAAAAGAATACTAACTTATAACTCCAAATTAATTTATAACGTTTTTATTAGTTTTTAAAAAATTTAATTTTAATTTCTTTCCTATATTTTTCTTTAACAATTGTATTTCACCTAAGAATAAATCAAGATTTATATTACTTTTATTTTTCAATCATGTGAAATATAACAATGGAATTGGAACGTCATTCGAATCTTGAAGGTATTCATGTCATTCAATTCCAATAATTTTCATTATCTTTATCTTTTATTTTATATAAATTCTCATATATTATCACTTAAATATAATTTATAGGTAGTCATTTCAAATGAATGATGAATATTAAACATGAAAAAAAAAATCAGAATTTTTTTATTAATTAATAAAGTAAACATTTTCAAAAATTAAAAACATCATTCAATATTATTAATATTAACAGTGATTTAGCTCTATTCGGTTCTCATTATAATTCTCCCTCCATATAATTTCACTCCAGTTGATCAAAATTTAGAAGGTGTAACTTGTAAATTATATAAGCTAAAATTAAGTGTGTCCTTGAATTAATTTAGTTTAAGCTCAGCAGTAATTTATTCAATGCTCTAAGGAGAAAAAAACTGCTATGAAATAGTTAACAAGTGTATTGAATTTCAGTGGAAAGTTTTGTGAATCACTATTTGGCCAAAATTATAAGAAATAAGTTTTGGTCAAGTTAGACCTTTCCAAGTTGTAACAGTGTATGTTGGTTGAAAAACGCAGCCAAATATGTGGTTTGATTTTTCAAATCCATTAATTGGACACACCAACCTGACCCATTCATTTTCTATATATAGCGATGAGAAATACAAAGTGATTACTATAACCCTCAACAGAAAACATCATCATGGCATCAGGAAGTAAGCATTTTGTTCTGGTGCATGGGGCTTGCCATGGAGCTTGGTGTTGGTACAAGCTGAAGCCCCTCTTGGAATCTGCAGGTCACAGGGTCACAGTGCTGGACCTTGCAGCTTCTGGCATCAACTTGCAGAAGATAGAAGATGTTGATACTTTCTCACGGTATTCGGAGCCTTTGTTGCAGCTATTGGCAACAATTCCCCCAAATGAAAAGGTGATTCTAGTGGGTCACAGCCTTGGGGGACTCAACATAGCACTTGCCATGGACAAATTCCCAGAAAAAGTTTCCGTTGGTGTTTTTGTAACAGCTTTTGCTCCAGATGTTGAACACCAACCATCTTATGTCTTGGAAAAGGTATGCTTCTGAGTCTTCAGGTTACTTTGTGCAATTTTTAATCTATTAAATTCGTTACTTCGTAATTAAGCAGAGATAAAGGCCTGTTACGAAAAAATGTCTCTGCCAACGTATTTAGTATTTTTTGTCTGTCTGATTTACTTTTATTTTTGTTTTTAAAAACAGTAGATCAATTTTAAAAAACTGTTTTTAAAAGTAATTAGTAATTTTAAAAAACAAAATTGTTTGATTATTTTATTTTTGAAAAGTTATTTTAAATAAAAAAGTTTTTTCAAAATTATTGATATAAATATTAATACTCATCGCTAAAATTAGAAAATTGATTTTATTTTACCAATTAGAAAAGGTAATTTGTAAAATTTTAGTTGCTTTTTCTTTCATTTCAATTTTTTATTGACATTTATAGACATGTTTACTTATATATCACTTTTTTATATTATTTATTATCTCTTTTATTTACAGCCTGATAAATCTAATTTTGAATAAATGGTATTTTCTTTACAATCATATCATAGATACAAATTTTAAATTTTAGAAATTTTATTACTGATTAATCTCTCTTCCAAGTCACCAATTTATTCTTTTCATAAAACTTGAACAGATGTTTATCATTCATTGCTCTTGTGAAAATGCGTCAAACAAAACGTTTTTACGGACATCTTAAGAATAAGTTTCCGTTTCCGATGTATATAGAAGGAAAACAACAATATAACTTGGCCTCTCTGACTTTTCATCAGAGAAAACAAGTATGGAAAGTGCCGACAGTGTAAAATACTGTAAAATATGAACACTCATGCCATCATCATCATTAACAGGTGAAAAATGTTTGTCTCAAAAGTTTGTTTGATTAGTAATATTTCACATAAGTTTTTTTTTCTCATATAATCTTAATATTTTCTTATATTCGTAATGCTCTATATTTAATTAATAAGTGAGATTTTAAACGAGATCTTCAAAAATATATTGATAAGGGTGAACAGCTTGTCATGGATCCCATCTAAGAGATCGATTAGATAATGAGATGAGTTATTTGGACTTTTAGTTAAATTTTACTTTTAATTAAAATTAGTCTTTATATATATATAAAATACTGATTTTATTACTCCCAAAAGAAATAAAATGAGACAAAATGGTATATTTTTAAAATCTGTAGAGAATAATTTCATCTAGTTAAATTTATAGAAATTAAGTGTGATATTTTGCGAGAGATTTACCTTCATGGCTACTACCCTGTTAAATTTTTTCCTTCAGCAGTACAGTGAGAGGACTCCGTCTACGGAATGGTTAGACACTGAATTTTCCCCTAGTGGAAACAAAACATCAATGTTCTTTGGTCCCATGTTCTTCTCCAACAAACTCTATCAACTCACCTCCATCCAGGTAACTACATCAATGTTCTTTGTTTTTATTTAAGTTTATTGTTTTAAATAAAAATATATAAAATCCCTCTTTATATTGGAAGAATGTATTGAAATCTTTTATTATATATATATATATATATATATATATATATATATATATATATATATATATATATATATATATATATATATATATATATAAGATGTAAACTTCGTCTTAAAATTGTTAGTATTTATCTGTTTTTAATAAAAACATACATCATGTTATTCCAAATATGTTTTTATTGAGGTGTTTAAGGGTTTAAATATAAAACAAGTTAATAAGTTTTGGATTTTGCAGGACCTTGAACTGGCCAAGAGTTTAGCAAGGCCATCGTCGCTGTTCTTGGAAGACTTATCCAAGGAAAAGAAGTTCTCGAAAGAGGGTTACGGGTCAGTTCCACGTGCCTACATTGTTTGCACTGAAGACCTTGCTATTCCATTGAATTACCAGCTCTGGATGATCCAAAATGCTGCCTTCAATGATGTTCTGGAGATCAAAGGCACAGATCATATGGTTATGCTTTGCATGCCATCTCAGCTCTTCCATTCTCTCCACCAGATAGCGACTAAATATGCATAAGTTCATCACATGCTTTAATCACTGTTTGAACTCAACTTGTGTTACAATTATAAGGTTGTGTTTCAAACCAACAATCTATTAAATAAATATTGGTTTCATTTTATTGAATCAGTTTGTCTCACTTCATAGGTGAGTGCATTAAAGGCTACCAACTTTTTAACCCAAAAATTCATCATTCTCATCAAAAAACATGACAGAAAAAATAACCTAAAACTTATTCATTTAGCCGTTATCAATAAGCATGCAATTTATTTTAAACATACGCATATCAAAGAATTTATAGCTCTTATAATTTTATTCATATAGAGCATACAAGTTTAATGAAATAAGTAAATTCCACCTGAAAATATTATAGAACATGTAAATGTGTACTCCTTTATTAGGAGCATTCTTTTTCAAGTACAAGAAGCAGATAACAAATGGCGTGAACAATTTCAATATTTTTTTTAAAAACGAAGGACAACAGAAATAATATCTAACAAGACAGTATTATTATAATATTTTAATACACTTTATTATAATACTATTAATTTAAAAAGTGATCTAAAATCATTCTTTTTAGGAGTGCGGTATTTTTCCCAGTTATAACTTTGAAAACACTGCTTCATTTTATTACAAAAATGATAAACATACACAGTGTCATACTTTTGGTGACAGTTTTCTCTAATATTTTATAAGCTATTAAATAATGGTTGGTGAGAGTGTCATGCGTGATATATATACATATTAATGACCATTACAACAAATTCTGGTAAAATAAATACACTTTTCTTTTAGGGGAATTTATTATTTTTACCGGCATTATTATTTATCATTTAGATCTTCATTAAAAATAATTTTCTAATTTCACTTTACTAGTGGCTTTTTATTATTGTCGGTAAAACTCTTTTACTGTCAGAAAAAATAAAAAATTTCAAAAGTACTTTGGATTTGATACTTGAATACAATTTCCATTAACAAACAAACCATCGTGCCTCCATAAACGCCAAAAAAAAAATTGAAAACAACAAAGTGAGAAGAAAGAAAAAGACACGATAAATTAATAATTATCATTCTTGATAAGATTGACCAGAATGTCTACTATTTCAACTTTTCAATAATTCTATTTATTATTTTTTCTAAAAACTTTCAACAAATGAAATATATGCTAAATTTGATACAGGTTCTGCCTTATATTTTTCAGAAAATAATAAATATAAAAATAATATTTCTGCAGCTTCAATTGTACGAATTAGAAAATCAGAGGAGTAATTTTATTATAAATGAAATTTAATGACAAATAAAATCTACCAAAAATTGTCAAAACAACGTGGAAAATACGTTGTATATTTTTTATTTTAGAAAAAATATAAATGAGGTATAATTAAAATATAAAATAATAAACTTATATATTAATCTATAACTAAAAATCAGATAAATATTCTTCCTATAAATATTGTACATAGTTATACATAAGTATAATGAAATAAAATTGATTATATTATCATTAAATCTTATCATAATTGTATTATTCTAATTGATAGTGTTGATCTTCAACATTTCCTCTTAATTTGGGTGGTAGATGTCTATCATACCCAAATTGTATTTAATGTTTTCATATGTGTTTCTTGAAAGAACCTTTGTCAGGATATCTACTGTTTGTCGGTATAATAGAACATGGTCAACACTTATAATACCATGATCAATTTTTTCTTTATTAAAGTGTCGGTTATTTTCCATATATTTTGTCATATCATAATAGACTGTGTTCTTTGCTATGTTTATAGCAGCTTTATTATCACATATTATCTTCATAGTGTAATTAATAGAAATTTTGATTTCACCTAACATTATCTTAAGCTAGATTCTTTTACAGATATTTTGAGTCATAGCTCTGAATTCAATTTCTGCATTACTCTTTACCACCACAGGTTACTTCTTGCTTCTCCAAGTCACCAAGTTTCTCCACACAAAAGAACAGTAGTCTGTAGTTGATTTTCTGTCAAAGGGACATTCTGCCCAATCTGAGTCAGTATAAACTTCAATACCTATGTTTGAGTTCTTCTTGAAGTAAAGCCCTCGACCTGGTGTAACTTTGAGGTATGGAGTATTATGTTTGTCATGTTCATGTTGACCTCGGTTGGATTAGATGTATAGAGATTAGTCAGACTGACAACAAACCCAATATCGGGTCTGGTGTGAGTTAGGTAGATTAGCTTCCCAATTAATCTTTGATATTTATCTTTATCAGCTAATGGATTTTCCTCTTCACCTTTCTTTTCCGATTCTATGGGAGTATCGGTTGCCTTTCACCCAAGTATATCAGTTTCTTGAAGTAAGTCCTGTATATTTCCTTTATGATACATGAATACCATCTTTTATCCGAGCAACTTCCATCCCTAGAAAGTATTTGAGCTGACCCAAATCCTTGACTTCAAATTCCTTAACTAAAAGTCCCTTCAAAATCTTGATTTGATCATAATTGTATCATATACCTAAAGAGAGTATAACCGGATTTAATTGAGTTTGACCATCGGTGCAAACGTCTCTTCATAATACACTCCATATGATTGGGTAAACCCTTTTGCCACCAATTAAGCTTTGTACCGGTTTATACTACCATATATATTGTATTTGATAGAGAATATTCACTTGCATCCAATCGATTTCATCCCTTTTGGTAGGGTGGTGATTTTCTATGTGTCATTTTTAACCAATGTCTGAACTTCTTTTGTTATAACTGCTGCTTATTCAAGTTGTTGGAGTGCCTCTTGAACATTTCTTGGGATATATATGTTATCAAGAGCTGCCACAAACGACCTATACCCCTGTGACAATTTTTCATAGGACACATAATTACCAATGGGGTGTTGAGTGCCGGATCTCACCCCTTTTCTTAATGCAATAGGAATGTCAATGTTATCAATAGGTTCAAGATTATAAACGATATTACCTAGAGAAAACTCATATTCTGAAACTTGGTTTGATTCATGACTTTGCCTTAGAGTACTCTACTTCTTTTTTACAGGTCCAGTCTCGACTGGCTCTGCATTTATTACTATAATTTCCTCTTTTGCATGTACAATTTTAAGTGATTCTACAGTTAGGAGAAAGTGAACTAACTCAAATTCTAAAAGTTGAGGAAAAAAAATGTAATACCTTTGAAAACATATGATGTGATAAGTAGAGAGAAATAAAAAAAAAAGTATAAGATGCGGGACATGTATATGTTTAAAAGGTGCACATAAATCATCACCAACACAAATATATATATATATACTACAACACTAATAATAAAATTTATTTAATGCTTTCAATTGAAGCTTCCTTTCCTAACTTTATTTCACATAACCTGCAAGAAAAATCTTCAAAGTTATAAGTACTAAATTAAGACGGTGCAATCAACACGTGTATTTAACCATTGTATATTGATTGATTTTAACTGAAAGAAAACAATGCAACTAAAACATTTCGCACTCAAACAAACAATCTAACACATGTATTTAACCAAAACATTTCACAATGCTTTATATTAGTTGCAAAATTCAACATGAAGCCTAATAGTGTTTAGCAATTGGTTTAACATGGTATAACAAATATTATTTTTAACAAGAACATAGAAAGGGTTTCTCAGGATGGTAACAACAACATAAATTTTAACAAAGTTGCAATGAAGGGTTTCCCTTTTCAATCTAAAACAAATACAAAAAATTGTAACAAAAAATTAACCCAATTTTGGTGTCATCGTGCATGAGTCTATGCCTAAATTGAAAAAGTTATCAGGCTTGTAGAGTTGAACGCTACGAATTATTGATTTACCTCATTTTTCCTTGCAATGGTTGTTGTACTTCTTTTCTGATTCAATTTCTAAATACATAATCAAATGAATCATGACAAACCCGATCTATCTTTACCCCTTTTCACTCTTACCGTACACTTATAGAATATTTGGCCACTTTACAAGGCAGAACAAAAGGGAACTCAATAATCAAAACCTTAACAACTCAATACTACAATGAATACATAAAAAAAACATAAACATAAACCAATTTAAGGAAACAATTCATCAGGGCAATTCATGGACGACTTAGGGCAGTGAATTCAACATAAACAGTACAATGGAGTTCCAACAACGTGCTTACGGTAACAAACAGCCACGAACGATGTTCAATTTGGGCGACTTGATTAGATTTGGTTTGTTAGACAATTTTGTTTGACATCCACGAACGATAATCACGACTCTGAAAACATTGGGAACCCTAACGCATGAGATAAAGGCAAAATTATATTATTTTTTTTAATATTTACCGATGGAGAGATAATTATTATTGACTAACAATTAATCCAATATATTATCAATGAATTTATCGATAATTATTTTTTAAAAAATAACATAGACAGATATATCTATCAATAATATCAAATTTTAATTATTATTTCACATTTGTCAGTAATGTTTTCGTCACTAAATCGTTAATTTATTGTAGGGTAGCGAGGAAATAATATGCTTATCATCAACGTTTTATAAATTGAAATGCAGGTCAAAACACAAAAACAAAATGAATAAATGAGATGGTTGCATCGGAACTCTTTCTCATCTTCATTCAATTACACATCATTGGTTTCTTCAGAAATAAAGCCGACAACGACTTCTCTAGATACGAAAAATAATTGAAATTTATGAAACATTTCCGAAAATAAATTATCTTTTGAAGCTACTTTTTTTTAAGTATATATATATATATATATATATATATATATATATATATATATATATATATATATATATATATATATATATATATATATATATATATATATATTATAGTAACCAAATTAATTATCTTAAAATTACTTTTCACAAATTTATTAAAAAAACATAATATTGTATGCATATAATATATTGTATGCATATAATAGATTACTAAAATAATTTATGCTTCACAATCGTATATTTATCAGTTAAATATGACCTGAAATACTCCTTTACATTTTTTTTTTTAAAATTCTATATTTTTTACTAAAAATTACGAAAACTAATCAATTTACTTAATTTTAACAAAAATAGTTACAGTTTTATTGTATATTTAAAATAAATAAAAAGTAAGAATAAAATGTATTTTTGATAAAAAAATTAGTATTATTTTAAATTTTGAAAATAATATATATTGCCTCTCTAATTTTTATAATTTGAAATATTTCTTAATTTTCTAAATGTAAGAATTTAGTATGAATTTTTCATAACAAACAAAAGTTGTATTCCTTAACTGAATTTTTTAAGTTGATTTCTCAAATGTACATTAAAATACTATAAAATATATTATTTTCAATTTTTTTGTTTAATAGTTTTTTTTATTTTATTTAATATACATTTACAAAAATAATAAATTTTAGGAAAAAGGGTTTTAATCTAGATTGTTTCTATATAATATAATATTATTTTCTAAATATACAAAAGAAAATTAATGGAAAAAATAATTTTTGTTTAGTTGAACTTTTTTTAAAAATAGTTTTTGAATTTAATGTTTAAAAAATAATTTTTTAATTAAATTTGGATCGTTGGATTTAATCTATCATCAACCCATAATACACCGAACGAATTCATTTTTTTTAAGACTAAACATAAGATATGTTCGATGAAGTCAACTTGTTCACATGGTAGAGCAGATCAAACCCAATAAACTGTACCCTCCATTTTAACAACTTAGCTCAACATAAATTTGGTGACTATAGATACATGCCGTGTATCAGTTATACTTGCCAAAATAATTTTCACACGTTTCCAATGAATTTAAACCTAAATTTGCCTACCAATATTTTATAAGTGTATTTGCTCTAATATAAGAACGAAATTGAAATATATCCTCAAAAATGATTTGATGCTAACAAGAATGCCATATATAATTGTATATATTTCATTCCCTTTAATCAATTAAACTTGTTTGAACAAAATTTCAAAGATGAAATTTGTGAATTATATAAATAAAATATAAGAGTACAATTATAGGATTGCTTTATTTTAATCAACAAAAATTTATTTAACAACTTTAAAAAAATTTATGTTAAATAATTATTAATTTATTTGCATTTCAATGGAAAGTTTCTAAATCATGATTTGTCAGAAATGATAAGAAAGAAGGTTTTAGTGAAATTAGATACTTGGAAATTTTACACCAAACATGTGTAGGTGGTGGAAAAGAAGACAACTAAAGGTTTAGTGTACCTTCCAAGTGTCTCTTATTATATATAGAAGAAAAAATAGAAAGTAATTAAAGAAGAAGAAAAACATGAGTTCAGAAAATTGTGTAGAAAGGAAGCACTTTGTTCTGGTGCATGGGGCATGCCATGGAGCTTGGTGCTGGTACAAGCTGAAGCCAGGGTTGGAATGTGCAGGCCATAAGGTGACAGTGCTGGACCTTTCAGCTTGTGGCATCAACTTGAAGAAAATTGAAGATGTTGATACTTTCTTAGAGTACACAGAGCCTTTGTTGCAGCTCTTGGGGACAATTCCCCATAATGAGAAGGTAGTTTTAGTTGGTCACAGTCATGGGGGCATCAACATAGCCCTTGCCATGGAGAAATTTCCAGAAAAGATAGCAGTTGGCATTTTCTTAACAGCTTTCGCTCCTGACATTCAACACCACCCTTCTTATGTCTTGGATAAGGTACGTATATAATTCTGACTCTTCAATTTACGTCTTCGAATTTCCTCAATTACGTATTCAACTCAACTACAATTGCTGCTACTGAAATTACACTAAAATATTTGTCGGTACTATTTATCAGTAACAAAATTACACTATAATCTTCGCCGTCATTACTATTATTTTTTATCTGCAGTTCCAGGAGATTACTCCATCTGCAGACTGGTTGGACACTAAATTTACCCCAACTGGAAACAAAACATTAATGTTGTTTGGTCCCAAGTTCTTGTCCAACAAGCTCTACCAGCTCTCCTCCGTTGAGGTAACTTCCTGTCATAATTCGTGTACTACAAGTAATGAAATGTATTTCATTACATCTCATACTTATTATCTATATTCTTCCTTTATCTATGTAATTATAAAATTTGATGCATAATTTACCTTACAAATAACATATCTCAAATGGATTGGATCGTGCAGGACCTTGAATTGGTGAAGACTTTAGCAAGGCCAACCTCACTCTTCACTGAAGACTTGTCACAACAAAAGAACTTCTCGAAAGAGGGATATGGGTCTGTTCCACGTGTCTTTATTGTTTGCACCGAGGACCATGCAATTCCATTGGATTACCAGCTCTGGATGATTCAAAATGCTGGGTTCAATGACGTTCTAGAGATTAAAGGCGCAGATCATATGGCTATGATTTCCAAACCACAAGAAGTGTCCGATTCTCTCCACCAGATAGCGACGAAGTATGCATAAATTTGTGAAAGTGGACTTTATTAATCTTATTTGTTGCATGTGCTTCTATTTAACTCGTGTTCGAATAACTTCTCGTTTGAAACAAGATAATTCCATAAATTGATCAGATACTGACTTTTTTCCATATATGTATGCGGATATGTATAGGTTTCATTTGAAAAAAATAAAAAAATAGTGCAAAGTTCTTCTGGTTCTTGTCAATTCATATTCAATTCACATGTTGACGTAGAGAAACTTATCGAATAATAATGTTATCAAAATGAACTCATAAAATCACTGATGAGTGGCAAGTAATTCAACCAATAATTGATCCTTGTGTAGAAATATTAACCAACAAAATAGACCTAGAACATATTAATTTAACCCTTAAACTATAACCATGCAATTCAACTCGATCGTACGACATATACGAATTTTTTTGCAAATAAGTAATTCCACCAGGAAAGTTTTGCTGTGGATAATTCTGAGCATCATGATTCAATTACAACTTACAAGAGGCAGATAACAAATGACCTAAAGTTTTCAAGCCAAATTTTAAAAAACATTAATAAAAATATTACCACTGTTATATTTTAAAATTAATTAAACTAATAATTTAATATAAAAACATTAAGATAAAGAAACACAAAAATAATTTTAAAACTGATTTAATTAAAATAATTTTGTTGCGGGTGATAGTTTTTTTCTTTCACGGCAACGAACCCATACGCAATCAGCTGACTTTTTCAAAAGAATTTTGTTATGTTGTATACGTTTTAAAAAACTTGCTTTCTTTTGTAAAAAAAATAAAAAATAAAAAATCCTGCATTTGGGCACAATTACAGAAAAAAAAAAAAACGATATTCAATATTCAAGAGCTTGTAAAAACGCGGAACTAGCAAAAACTACCGGTTGATTTATATATATTAAATTATATTTTGTAATGATATAATGTATTTAATAACAGATTTTTAATATAAATAGATTCTTTAAATATGTGTACATTTAATATACCAATACTATTATTATATGCAACAGATATATTATAATGTATAATAATACCATTAAGATTTAATTATAACTTCCCTATGAATTTTGGTACTCGTCAAAATTACCGCAAGGAGAAACCCTATTTCACAGGTATTTGTGTTTAGTGAATATAGAATTTTCTCAACCAAAAATTGTATAAAGGCGAGATCCAGCCATATTCTCCAAACATTCTTCTTTTCCCAAGTTTTCTATTTTTTTTTTCAAAATTTTAAATCAATGTCAACACTTTAAATTAATTCTCAACAATTTCAACTATAAACTTTCAAAAATATGAAAAAACTCCGAGAACACGTCACTACATCATTCAAAATCAAAGTATATGAAATTACTAAAATTAACTCATATACATAACAAATTTACAGTGGTCAAATCAATTTATGACTTGAAGTTAGAATGACTTGTGAAACACAATCATTGTTTGTAAATTATTTAGTTTATGCATGAATTAATCTAGTTTAAGCTTAAGAGAGTTATTTGTTCAATAATTTGATTAAAATGTTTTTAAAAAATTTATAGTTTTTTTTTAATTTCAGTCAAAAGTTTCCAAATTCTTATTTATCTTAAATAAAAAGAAATAAGTTACTCAAAGTATAGCTTTCTAAATTGTAATCCAAACATGCATTAAACGCGAAAGAGGTTATTAAGTGTTTTTTTAACACACACTACTGTTTGGTAAATTTATTAACATTTATAAAATAACAATTTATATATTAAAATAAAAATAAAAAAATTATAATTAAAAATATTGTATTTTTTATCATATCATTAAAATATATAAATGTATTATGATATTTAAATTATTAATTATAATTAAATATTTTAATATATAAATAAAATAATTTTTTAATTATTTAATAATAAATATTAATTAATAAATAAAAATTAAAAAATCAATCATATACGTAATTTTTAAAAGTTATATATAAAAAAAATATATTGATGAACTGATCCACTTTTATCCAACTATAACATATCAGGCTGTTTCATCTTATATTTTATGAAGTAGAATAAGTTAAAACATGTCAAATTTACTATTCTAAAATAAGCACTTGATCAGTAGTCTATAAAAAAAGAAAAAACTATTAATAATAACGGTACCTTTTAAAAATGTTCGAATCAGATTGTGGCGGTGGGGGGTTGTTTGACGAAAAAACAAAATTGCATTTACATCATAACTTCCTAACTCTTCACTTTTCGTATAGGAAGTGAAAAAAAAAATTGTGATGTAAATTTGTATATTTTAAGTGATTATTTACCTAACATATATCAGTTTGACAGCTGATGGCCCCTTTTTCTGTTTATGGTTGATATATGATTTAATTACTCCTTTTCATTTGTCATGTACTTATAAAAGAAAATTTGAAAAAAAATTTAGTCCATACTTTATTTTTTTAGTTTATATATATATATATATATATATATATATATATATATATATAATATGTGTAAAAAATAAAAGAAATATTTTTAATTATACAAACAAATTTTTATTATATCTATATAAAAAAAATATTGATATACTGATATTAATCCGTTATTTTTGACAATTTTAAACAATATATTTATATTAATAATTACATTAATTCTGTATATTTTTAAAATTTTAAAAAAATACTTAAATTAAACTTTATGCTATGGTACTTAGATATATTTAAATTATGTTAACATGGACGCTAGTGAAATTTATAAAATAATCAATAAGAAAGTTCTTATAAAATAATCAATAAAAAAGTTCTTTAAATGTTGATTATCAAATGCTTAACTGATGTTACTAAAGACTATATACACCATTAAATAAATAAACAGGACACACTTGTTCATGCCTAATTAATCTTGAAAAGAAAAAAAGAAAAATGATAAAATTACATTCATAGTCACCGTCAAAGTGACACGGGTTGGCTCACCACGGGTTGAGTTGAAAATATGTGAGCTCAACCCGGCTCATTTTTTGGCGAGCCAGAAATTTTACAACCCGGCTTAACCCACCACAGGTTGGTGGGTTAGATGGATTGTCTCACTAACCCATATTTTTTTAATTAAATTGAAACTTCGGATATAGAAACTTATGTTTTCTTCCTTTCTTTCTCAACATTAGTATCTTCGTTATTAACTGAAATTGACTCATTGAGTTTTTCATTAATAATAAAATCATCACCAATACAATTTACATTGACACTTTGATGTATTGTTTCAAATAGTTTAGGTTATGAAACAAATTTGTACCTTTGAAAGAAATACAGTGGTTTAGGTTATGAAACAAATTCTTATCTTTGAAAGCAATACAGTGGACATGGTGTAGTGGTGCGGTGGACAAATAATAAGACAAGTGATCAGAGTGCAGTAACAAACGTAATAGTGCAGCGAACAACTGATAACAAGTTTAAGTGAGGATTTAGCTTATGGCGATAACGAACAATGTAGAGTAGAGGTAAGACAGGATAACAACAATTAGGGTTACTAAAGATTATAATTATTTTTAAAATTTAAAATAAATTATTAATTAAGGTTAGTATGTTATTATAATTATTTTTAAAATTTAAAATTAATGATGGGTTGCGGGTCAACCCACCATAACCCGACTTGAACCCGTTTAATACGTGGGTTAAGTGAGCCGAGTTCATTTTTAACCCATAATCGGTAGAAATAAATAAAAAAATCAAACCCAACCTAACTCGAACCTATGTGTGAGCCGGATTGGCTCACTGGTTACAACCCATATTGACACCCCTCACCCCTATTATACTTTCTTTTTCAACAGTACAATGAGAGGACCCCCTTGTCTGCATGGATGGAGACTAAATTTGAACCAAGTGGAAACAAAACATCGATGTTGTTTGGTCCCGAGATTTTGTCCAACAAGCTCTACCAACGCTCCCCTGTTGAGGTATCACTTACTTATGACAATTACATCAATGTCTTAGTTATCAAAATTTTCATAAAACAAATGTTAAAAAGCCCTCCAAGTTTTAAGTCTTCAACAATAAGGGTTGGGTTCTGCAGGACCTTGAATTGGATAAGAGTTTAGTGAGGCCGTCGTCACTCTTCATTGATGACTTGTCGAAGCAAAAGAATTTCTCGTAAGAGCGATATGGGTCAGTTCCACGTTCCTTTGTTGTTTGCACTGAGGACCTTGCAATTCCTTTGGAATATCAACACTGGATGATCCAAAATGCTGCCTTCAATGACGTTCTCGGTATCAATGGCGCAGATCACATGGCTATGAATAGCAAGCCTCGAGAACTATTCGATTCACTTCAGAAGATAGCAACTAAATATGCATAAATCCATCACGCAACCTTTAATTTACTCTTGCTTTGCTTCGTTTGAATTTGACTTTGTGTTTGAACTATAAGATCTCCTTTGGAATCACTACTACACGAGACAAATAAATTAAGGGATATCTTGCAACTTCTGCATTATTTTTCATGTTTACTATCTTATGAAGTTTTGTTAATTAGTCTTCTTCTCAATTCATGTTAACGAATATGTGAAACTTATCAAATAAACCGTTTTATTTTCATAGTTATTAAATAAGTTCATCCATAAACTCAGTTGAGTGAATGAAGCATGGTTTTCAAGCTAGAATTGGTCCCATTTTTGTCAAAATTTTGACTAAAAAAAACAATTGACCTAAAATCTTAATTTACCCAATACAAGCACGCAAGATAACTCAAAGCATACGAAATTTTATGGGCAAAAATATTAAAAAAGAGTCATTTTGACCTATAAATTATCAAGATGGATTATTTTTTAAATGTTATATATTTATATCAACAGAGAGAAACTGTAATATCTAATAAAAAAAATTTATATTGACGTCTTTCAGAGATTTTTTTCTGAACTAGTATTTTTTTAAAATAATAAATAAATGAAGTTATGTTTAACTGTATGACTTTAGCTTATAATGTTATGTCCAAGAGGTTGTGTTTTTTAAGAAGGGGTGTTATATAACATAATTTTAAGCCAAGGTATTTTTTAACAAAAATATGTATATAATTAATTATTATTTATTTAATTTAAACCCTTGTATAATGTATGCATAAATAAATATGTAATTATTTAAAATAAATAAATTGATAAATTTTAAATATTTTATTGTAAAATAAATTGATGTTACAAAATTATACAAGTAAATGGATTTAAACATTAATTTTTCATTAATTATACAATATTCGTGATATTAGAAAAATAAATTACTTGATAAATTTTAATATTAAAATTATCATATTGAAAATAAATTCCAGACGTAAAGTACAATATCAAAAGCGAATAATTGATGAAAAAAGTAAAAATAATATCTATAATTATCTTATTTAAATTAATTAAGAAATATGTTAATTAAATCACACAATAAATAATTATGTTTTTCTTATTATGATAAAAATTAAAAAGTAATGCTAAAAGAGCTAAAACAAACAAATAGTTTTTTCAGCGACTAAATAAAGACGGACATTTTTCAACTGCTTTTTTAATTATTTTTACAATTATGATTCACTTCCTCTATTTTAAAATAAATGAAATTTAAAATTTAATTACATAAATATTATTTTTTTAATAAAGTTATTAGTATGTTTTTCATCAACATCCTTATTATCTTGATACTCTTTTTTTAACCACAAGTAATTTATTTATTTTTCTCTAAATAAATAGAATTAAAGAAAGAAAAATATTTTGAAACAGTGGAAATAATTTTGTTTTTTTAAGTAATGTTTGAACCCAGGCCTACCGGGTTACCTAGATTACCTAGATAAGAAGGAAGGTGGCTGCAACAGTCATATTCATGCTTACGGAAAGACGGACTTGGGGAGGAGATCTCCTCAATCAGAACTTTCTCAAAAGTGGAAAAACCAAATTGGCTAAAACACTTTCCCATAGTCTTTCGAGCTTCATGTTTCCATATACCTAATCTGTTTTTCCAGCCACGAACATGCTTCAACAAATTATATAACATTAGGCACTTTAAACCATTTTTACGCCAGCCTTTAAGTGAAGGGTTACTAGCCTAAGCAAAGTAACTAAGTTTTCCACTTTTGGTCGTATTAATGTTTGTCTGAAGGAGAAAGAATGCAGGCTCCAATTACCAAGAGAATGGCATCCGAAAGAAAAACATCCTACAATATAAGAATTGCTTGGATTATTGGAGAATATGGTACAAAAGGTATCGCAAAGAAAGATTATGTTGCTGGCTAAAAGTTGAGGGAAATGGATTAGTTGGGAATGGATTAGTACCTTTTTAAATTCAAGAGAACTCACATGTAGGAATCATTCATGCACCCTATGTCCTTGATATTATTCACCAGATTCTTCGGAGATGGCCTGTTATCCCCAAACCCATAGATCACTGTCACTAGATGACACCAGTAGCAAAAATGTCGAAAGCTGTGCATATTACACCCACAAAATTTGAACCAGCACAAAAAAATCTCTAATTTCTGTCCATCTGTGCCAGCAATATCTGTTTCCAGCAAGAAGTCTATTCAACAAGTAAACTAAAACTTAATCTGGAAAAATAGATTAATTGAAATATGATTTATTTTATTATTTCAATACAAAGAGATGATATAAGATATATACAAGAGACTTAAACTATTTTAGGAAATATAATAACTCTATTTTATGCTAGGATCCCTTGATTTATGGGATTATTCCTAATTATTCAAATCTGTACAGATTACAAGGAAATATACAAATTTCCTTATTTATTCTTTCCTAAAATACTATTTGATTTCTCACACTCCCCCTCAAGCTGGTGAATAGATGTTTTCCATTCCCAGCTTGGATACAATCTTCTCAAAATTATGGCAGCCCAGTCCCTTGGTAAGAATGTCTGCAATTTGGTCTTGAGAGGACACATATGGAGTGCATATCAAGCCACTATCAAGCTTTTCTTTGATGAAGTGTATGTCTACTTCAATATGCTTTGTTCTATCATGCTGCACTGGGTTGTGGGCTATACTGATTGCTGACTTATTATCACAATAGAGCTTCATAGGTTCTTCCCACTTTATCCTCAAGTCTTCTAAGATGATTTTAAGCCATAGCAACTCACATATACCTTGTGTCATGGCTCGGAATTCCGCTCAGACTCTGGACCGAGCCACTACACACTGCTTTTTGCTTCTCCAAGTCACAAGATTTCCTCCAAGAAAGGTGCAATATCCTGTAATTGACCTCCTATCCACAATTGACCCTGCATAATCAGCATCAGTATAGGCTTCAAGTTTCACATTATCATTCCTTTTGAATAGAATCCCTTTTCCTGGAGTTCCTTTAAGGTACTTGTAAAATTACGTGGGCAGCTTGTAAATGGGTCTCCTTTGGGCTATGCATAAATTGGCTAATTAAACTCACTTGCTTAGGCAATATCCGGCCTGGTATGTGACAAATATATAAGTCTGCCCACTAATCTTTGGTACATATCTTTTTCAACAGACAACATCTTCTTCCGCATTTCCAAGCTTTAGGTTTGGTTCTAATGGGGTACTAGCGGGTTTGCAAGCTGCCTTGCCAGTTTCCTTGAGCAAATCGGTGATGTATTTCTGCTGAGATATAAATATCCCTTTCTCGGAGTGGGCAACTTCAATTCCCAAAAAATATTTTAGTTTTCCCAAAGTCTTGATCTCAAATTCCTTGCCTAAGCATTGACTCAATAATTGTTGCTCTTCTTTATTATCTCCAGTTAATATTATGTCATCCACATACACCAATAATATTGTTACTCCCCCTGACTTGGAATGTTTAAAAAACAAAGTATGGTCCCCTTGGCTTTGTTTGTAACCCAGACCTGTCATAACTTTAGTAAACCTGCCAAACCATGCACGGGGGGACTGTTTTAACCCATATAATGCCTTTTTCAACTTGCAAACAGTGTTGGTAGCAACATCTTTACCATATCCCGGAGGTATCTCCATATAGATTTCTTCTTCAAGGTCTTCATGTAGGAAAGCATTCTTAACATCAAATTGTTCCAAGTTCCAACCATAATTGGCAGCAAGGGACAATATCACCCTAACTGTGTTCATTTTGGCAACCGGAGCAAAGGTCTCCAAATAATCAACTCCATAAGTTTGGGTGAACCCTTTGGCAACTAGTTTTGCCTTATATCTCTCAATTGATCCATCAGCCTTGTATTTCACTGTATAGACCCATTTACATCCAACTGGCCTCTTTCCTGTTCGTAAGGTGACTAACTCCCAAGTGTTGTTTTTCTCCAATGCCTCCATCTCTAGATAGGGTATTAGGTAGAAGTACAGTGTTTAGGTTTACTAGGAAGGTTTTATGGGTAGGAGAGAAATTTTTAAAGGACAGGTAATTTGAGAGAGGGTAGAGTGGCTGTTTGGTGCATTTTCTTGTTCCTTTTCTAATGGCAATTGGGAGGTCAGGATCATTTTGGGTTTCAATTTCAACCTGCACAGCTGGAGAAAAAATTGTTACCTCTTTTTGTGGAGTCGAGTTGGATTCTTGAACATGGCTTGATCCTGGAATGGCCTTAGTCTTCCTTGAGTACACCAGCTTCTTACCAAATTTTCCAGTTTCAACATCTTCTTGATCAGCTTCACAATTAATTTCACTTTCTTGACCAACTTCCTTTGCTTGACCAATTGCTTGACTTGTTTCATTTGTTACAACTTCAATTTGATCTTCAATTTGATCTTGTTTAGGTTCAAATATCAAGTTTGGAAGAATGGGAAAACCAGAATTACTACTTTCAATATGATTTCGTTTAGGTTCAAATGTCAAGTCTGGAAGAATGGGAAAACCAGAATCACTACTTTCCTTATCTTCCCTGAAACTCTCCCCTTGAAGATAAGGTTGATGGAAATAGCCTTCTTGTTCATTGAAGGTAACATCCCTAGACACAAAGAATTTTTTGGATGGGAGGTGGTAGCATTTATACCCTTTTTGAGTGGGTGAGTAACCAACAAAGACACACTTTAAGGCTCTAGGATCAAGTTTTCCCCTGTCTGTACTATGAATATGGACATATGAGATGCACCCAAAAACTCTTGGTTTAAGATTATTTGTAGTAGACAAGTTTGGATAGAAAAACGACAAAACTTCCATAGAGCTTTTTGATCCTAAGACTCTAGAGGGTAGTCTATTGATAAGGTATGTTGTTGTAAGGACAACTTCCCCCCAGAAATTTTTTGGGACACTTTTTTGGAACAACAATGCCCGAGTCTGATTTAATAGATGTCCATTTTTCCTCTCTGCGACCCCATTCTGTTGTGGTGTTTTGACACAAGAGGACTCATGAATTATACCTTCTTTTTGACAAAAAGAATTAAGGACATGATTGAAGTAATCTTTGGCATTACCTGACCTAAGCCTCTTAATATTAACACCAAACTGATTTTTTATCATGGAGTGGAAGTTTAGGAAGATAGAACTAACTTCTGATTTTTGTTTAAGTAGGAAAACCCAAGTGACCCTTGTACAGTCATCTATAAAGGTGACAAACCATCGAGTACCAGACACATTTGGAATATTAGAAGGTCCCCATACATCAGTATGAACAAGATAAAAAGGGAAATTGCTAATTCTATTACTTATTGAAAAAGATATACGTTTGTGCTTAACAAGTTCACACACCTCACAATGAAGACTCTCAACATCTAACTTGGTAAACAGAGAGGGAAATATAATTTTGATCACTCCAAAAGAGGGATGTCCCAACCGACAATGATAAAGCATGATTTTTTCTCTGTTGGTCATCAAGGATTCAGATATGAAGGAGTGAGAGATTCTATTTTTGCTGGGAAGACTTGGATCTTCGAGATAATAAAGGTCATTCCATTCTCTAGCATGTCCAATCATCCTCCCCGAATCCTTATCCTGAAATACACAATGATCATTAGAAAAAACAACTTTACATGACAAATCCTTTATAAGTTTTTGTATAGACACTAGGTTCGTGGACAACTTTGGGACATGGAGAACGTCTTTTAAGGTTATTAAAGGATTGATTTGGATATTTCCTTGACCAACTGCAGCTTATAAGGGTTCCATCTCGTCGTGGCAATTTTCTTGTTGCTCGGGACATGGGGAATATGTGGAGAAGTGTTTGGCTAATGGTGTCATGTGATCTCGTGGCTCCGAGTCCAATATCCAATAATGGTTAAAAGGCGTATCCGAGACATTTAATCCAAAAGAAGGTGGAAACTTACCCGAGTATGCCAAAGAACACATACCCGTAGGTTTTTCCAGCTTACTAAGAATGGTTTTCACCCTTTCTATCTCCTCTTCCCTTGACATTATAGCAAAAGATGCGATGCAACAACAATGCGGGTTGTCGTCTTAGGATTATGAAAAATGCAAGCGACGAATGCGAGTTGTCGTCTTAGGATTAAGAAAAATGCAGCAGCAATGTAGTGCCAGTCTTAGGGTTAAGAAAAATGCGATGAGCAATGCAGGCTGCCGTCTTAGGGTTACAAAATATGCAGCAGCAATGCAGTCAGCCGTCTTAGGGTTTATCGAGCGCAGACAGAGCTTCCTAGATCGGAAGCTCGATACCATCTGGAAAAATAGATTAATTGAAATATGATTTATTTTATTATTTCAATACAAAGAGATGATATAAGATATATACAAGAGACCTAAACTATTTTAGGAAATATAATAACTCTATTTTATGCTAGGATCCCTTGATTTATGGGATTGTTCCTAATTATTCAAATCTGTACAGATTACAAGGAAATATACAAATTTCCTTATTTATTCTTTCCTAAAATACTATTTGATTTCTCACACTTAAGCATGACATAACTGACGAGAACTTTTCATATAACGTTAAAAATACTCAAGAAGATAAGTCCTACCTTTATTCCATGCGCATCCTACTCCCCCAAAAATGTAGTGCTATAGCCATTAATAAACACAAGATAGCCAAGCTTTCAGGGTCAGGCAGCAGTTTTGGTAATTACTAAGTTTTCAGTCCCTGGAATCCCTTTTCCTGACAGCAGAACTCTTGAAATCTTCTTAGACTACAAGAAATAAGTTCATCACTTTTTTTTTTTCTTCAGATACACAGAATCATGCCTCTAAAAGCTTGACCCTTTCGTGGAACAAATAAATTCGTTATTAAGAAACATACCGTTTCAAAAGAACTTCAGGATTATAAGGAAACAGCTTCTTTTGATGAAGATTATAAACAGAATTGTTCAAAGATAGTAAACATTCTGCAGCTTTCTTGAATGGTTTGATATTGTAGTGCTTGAACCCACATCTCCTGTCTTCCTTATAATTCTTGATATGGAATATGGTACTTCCACTGTCGTCAACTGTCGTAGGTATTCCATCTGCTAGCAACTCTAGATCATCCCCTACAATTTTTCTTCTCTTGCAAAATGATTGATCCAAAATTTCTCCAAATAATGGAAATTCTACGAATAACTTCCATGAGTTGCATATCAAATGCAAGCATCTACAACGTGCAAAAGAGAAAAAGTAAAATCCAACACTTAAGTAGCAACAAGTCAGGATAAGTAAAAGAACTAACAAAGTAAACAGTTGATTCTAAACCCTGAACTTATTCTCCATTATTAAATAAAGAAAAAGAAAGTAGAGGCTAAAACAAAAAATGATAAAATGTGAGGCTGACCAGTGTTTTCTTATACGTGAATCATGGAAAAGCAAGATACCAAACTATAACCTTGGGATATTCACAAATAGAGTAAAATATGATCAAAAGGCCTCGCAGAAAACTGGTCATTACAACCAGATCTGGTCAAAGCTTTGCAAGTTCAATTGTAATCACGGAATGAGGAAATTTTGTTATTCAATAAAGTTACAACGAGCCTACCTTAGAAGATATTTAGCGCAGCTAATACCAGTATCTTTTGAAATGAGATAATCAAGAAGCACTTGGTGATCATAATGTATCTGCAGATCAATAAGGACAAGATAATAAGCCTTTTTTGGTTTTACAAACAAACTAATTGATAAAGAAGATAACAATGGGCGTCTATCTTCATGTGCTACGGTAGAGTTAAAATACTAGCCTCGGAAAGGAACAGATGGAAAAGGTGCACAGGCTTAAAAATGTCTGACAGCTCAAAAGGAAAATCTTTTATTACATTCTGATAAGCAGGATCCTTTCGTTCAGACCTACATCATCCAAATCTCATTACAGTGGATCCTCCATTAACTAGATGGTAAAAATAGCAAAAATTGAATACAATTCCTTACTGTTGCTGGAGACAGGATGATATGCTAAACAATAGCAAAAGCACTTCAAACAATAGATCATCCTGCCATTCAAGTGATAAATAAAATTAAACTTCAAGATAATGTCATTCAAAGATTCAAAACTATAATGCTAAAGGAAAATAAGTAAGACTTCAGACTCTCATCAATGCCTCAGTTTCACAAATATATTTCCAACCTCAGAAGCATGGATACAGACAGGCTCAAAATGACCAATTAGAATTGGAAGTGATCTGATATGATGAATACAGCTTCTTTTTCAAAATATCTGAGCTGAACATTTATATGATGAGCTACCCAAACTTGTCAGAGTAACTTAATCAAATCCCCTATATTAGTTACAAAATCTGAAAATTTACATAACTGGAAAATGTTTTGAAGACAATGGCCATGTCAACCAAGCTTCATACTAATAAACTAATACACACACAAAAGCAGAATAAACAAACCTCGCGAAGATATAGCTGTAGGAAAGATGACATGAATTTCATACATATCTCCAAGTAGTTTTCATGGTTGATAGAGATTGCAGTTGGAAGATGTGCTTGAGTCCACCTGTAAAGTTCTAGAAATCCCTTTTTTATGCAGAAGTGATCATGATGTGAATTTGGGTTAGTGGTTAAACAGGAGCACAAAGTTGAACAATTACAGTGCTTTGCATTTTCTCCTCTTTGACTGATCAAACTGAAAGAACAAGCCAGTAAGAGGTAAACAGCTTGTCTTTGTAGGTGATCTGAATGCGTCAGACATGCTTCTCCATCAGACAAACTCAATAAAAATGGAGAGCCTTCCAGACAATCAATTTGATCAGAGTGAATTTGAGTTAAGGGTTTCTGCAAAAGCTCTTGAAAGTAGTTATGAAGGAGTTCAATCCAAGAAAAACGAACTCTACAGTCTAGACCTGTGAGTGTCCCAAGTCTGATCATCAGGATCTGCAGAAAACATGGTAAATGGTTTTAAGAGTGCCTTCCACTCTGAACATAGCAAGCAACCTAGAAATAGGCTTTTAACAAAGTTTTAAATTTCAAAGTTATTTTCACTTCTTTTTCTCTTAAATTTTTTCCAAGGTTAAACTCATTAAAAAACAAAGCAACAACAAATAGCAACTTATAATAACAAAAAAATATCTCGCTGCTAATGAAATGACAAAAGGACTACTTTATAACTCAGCAATGAAAGATGGAAAGTACTAATGTCGAACATAAAAGGTTACAAATATACAATATCAAACTTGAAAATGCACAAAAAGAACTGGAAGTCAGTATAGCCTCCATAATTGACAGAAATATCAAAAGGGATAAGACTCAGGATAAATTATGATACCTGACCAGTTACTCAACCAAGTAATAGGCTTAGCAAAACAATTCCAACCCACCAGGTCAACAAGCATAATCCATCAATTCTAGCAATGTGTGTTGAGTTTTATGACCCACTTAGCCTGCTTCACTCAACCCACCATTCAAAGCAGGATAGAACACGCTGAACCTATTACAGTTTTATATTTAGAATTTTATAAATAAAAATTAAAAAAGATATGTAACTTCGATTATTATTTTGTGATTTTTATTTTATTATTGTAAATTTAATTTTTCATATTTAAATGTAAAGCTTCAATATTTCTCTCATTTTTCATTTTTTCTATCTTAAATACTTTTTTTAACCTATTTCATTTAATTAATAATTTATATTTTCTAAATTATTAGGTGGGTCAATCCACCAACCAACCCAAAATGTCCGTAAGTGGTTACTGTTGGAAAACCACCCTTGGTTTGTTGCAGCCTCTTTGGAGACTGCCTTAATTGTAGTCTGAAGAGTGGAGTTTAGTTTTATATCAACTAAAAGTATGGTTGAGATAGAGCTTATAAACCTTCCGTTGTCCCAACTTACAAATTAGTTTTATAAGGTTAAGTTTGATCATGTTTTAGACATAAAGGAGTGCATAAGAAAACCGCCTTGACTGTGTCCCCCCAGCTAGGCTTAGTTGTGCCCTATTTAGGCATTCCTTTCATTGTAGCCTCAAGGGTACACGGCTTAAATAGAACTTATAAAGTTTGAACAATCCTCACCTTACAAACTAGTGTGGAGTTGAATTAGACCCTTATCCCAAATTCTAAGAGTTATTTTCAACAAATTTCAAACAAGGCTTCAGTACGGAAATGTTTTCTGTAAGATCATTAGCACTGCAGGTCAATCTGTTTTGCCAGACATTGATTTTCGCACACATGAATGTCAACATAAAAGACTGTTTGGCTTAAAAAAAAACTTTTTTAAAATTTCTCTTTTTACTTTTAAATTTTAATTACAAAAATGTCACTTTGTTTCTTATTTCAAAAGTTTAAGTAGGGAAAGTAAAAATATTTGAAGATTTCCATTGTCAATTTTTTCTTTTCATTGTTTTCCAACATAAACTTTTGAAAACAAGAAACAAAATGAAAATAAAACCAAGGAGATATTTTGCAATTAAAAGTGAAAACAAAAATGAATCCAAAAAGCATTTTTTTAAAACAAATGGCCCCTGAGCTTTTATAACATTTCTTCTAGTTTCACACTGAAGCTTCAAATGGTGCAACATGTCTTCTATACAGACACGATATATCAACCCCATAATACTATCTAGAGGGTCCTATCCTATCATGCTAAAAAGAAACTAGATTTGAAATTGAAACATATTCTTAAGCTCTGTCAGCATTAGGATTTTACTCGTTCTCCCCAATAGGTCAAAAGGCATTTTTATAATAACAACCTACTCTTCCATTAAATATAAAGTGGAAATAATAGAACAATATCTACATTCAATAATACAAGTGACAAAAAAATTCAATTATCAAGTTCATTGCACAAGTGGAAGAATCTTACCAGTAGCTTGTGATTCAAGTAATTAATGATGCATCTCTCAGCAGTATTTCCTGGCTTGCTGAGACACCATTTTGCAAGTCTAGGTACAAGATTCACTACTGTAACAAAAAGTGGATGTTTATCAATAGAAACACAATCAGTTTCCACTAAATTGCTCGGGTCAACCAGAGAGCATAGAAACTGAAGAAAAGTCCCAAGAAAATTCATAACAGGCTCCATAACAATGAACTTATTGAGGTGCACTTCATTGATAGAAGAGCTGTTATCCATGTTACCAAACTCGCAACTCCAGCACTTGTCCAACAAATCCCACGGCATCTTCAGGAGACAAGAATTGACAGAGTCATGGTACACTTTGACAAGTCCATCATCATAGTCCTCCTCCTCCAAATATTTACATATAACACGCAGGACTCGAACAACACCAGCCACAGCAGACCAATCAAAATTGTTAATCCCATATTGCATCAGAAACTCAAAATCAGAACAATCGAACTCAGCATTTTCAGCTCCAGAAGAAGGCACAGACGAACAAGAGATCATCTTAGCAATCGCCATTTTCAACCAACAGCATAAAAACTGAATGAACCCACCCCAATTGTTCCCCTGCAGATTATCACACAAGGATAAACAAAACAGGGAATCACATGGTAGACTCAAATGCGTAACTTAAACTCATCAAGGAAGCTTACTTCTACATTCATACCGTTGTGTACACAAACCGTGAAGTTAAGGCAAGAGCGTTGACAGCCACATGTTGAACAAATTCACTCTTGACAGTTAGCAAAACCATCTGCGCCACCAAAAACAACATGGAATCATATTTGCAACAACGACGTTATACAAAAGCGCGTCGATGAAAAGCTGGTCTTAACATTTACCATCTCATCGACGATTTTAGGCAGACATTGATCGACGGACGAATGCTGGTTGGAACCGCACAATTCCTCTTCGTTGGAAGCATGGTCCGCCTCTGCACCAGAATCAAATTCCCGAATCCGGAGTTGAATTTTTGTCACGACCTAAAATGTAAAATCAGATGCGGTACATTTCATAGTGTCTTAAATATGAGCAAGAATGCAAAAACCTGAGAAGAAGCAATCAGAATTTCCCTCTCCTTCTCTTTGGAAATGGAAACGGAGGCCCGTGGTTCCTGAAGCACGAGAAAGGCGTCTTTGGTGAATGGAATGAGCGGAGAAATGTAGAAAATAAATATAAAAGAAGGAAAGCGTAGAGCTGAAGGTGGAAGAGTGAAACAGACTGTGTATGGGCGGAGAGAGTCGTCGAGGAGGCGGCAGAGCCACCTGAGTTCAGTGGCCGGAGACATTTCACCGGGGCAATTGTCAGAATTGGATTTATTTGTGGTGTCTTGCAGCTTGCTACAGCTCGATGCCATAGGGGAGGAGTATTCCAACGCTGCCGTTTCGAAGAGAAACGTAGCAATTGCCTTTTAACACCACTTGAAGGATAATTTGCACAAACAAAACTATAAACAATAGGAATCCATAATTTATTGAAAAAAATAAATAAATAAATATAAATAAATAAATAAATATATATATATATATATATATATATATATATATTACATATTCTAAAAGCATTATAAAAAAATCATTTCAAAATGAGAAATTTCATGAAATTATGTTTAGTTTCAGAGTTGATAACATATTTCTCTATTGCGTTTTTTAATTCACAATTTCTTGCTATTACAAGACTATTGAAGGAAGAAAAAAAACATATGATATGATTGAAGAAGATACAATAAAGTTTAGAAATGAGTTTTCTTTCTGAAGTTGACGACAAAGAATTTAATATTTCGAAAAGTATCATCCGAAATTTTTAATCTTCAAATTATTTATTAGACGAAACATTTTGGAGTATATTGTAAAGTATTTTGCGCGATAAATTTTATTATGAAATATTATAGAACTTTCATATTAAAATATATTATTTTTTTTTAACCTCCAGAACGTATAGTTTGAAATTTGTTTAATATATTTTTTATAGATTTTTATATTTTATCACTAAAATGTAAGAGAAAGTTGCGGAAAGAAATTATAGAAGTGTAAGTAAGAAGTAATTTACCTCATCTCTACGAGGCCAGCTTCAGACCCAATGGACTTCCTTCGAGATCCAGGTGAAAGGTGAGCAAGAGACCTAAAAAATATGTATTATGTTTTATTCTATTTAGTCGTAAATTTCATAAAACAACATTGTTTTTATCAATTATATCTTACTCTTCAATTAATTTTTAATTAATATACTACTTTTCTCACAAGCATATAAGAGAGATTATCATCATGCTATTCCTATCATATAAGCCAGTACGAAAACTGATTCAATATTTAAATATTAAAAAATAAAACTCTCTACATGTTTTCGTTTTCATTCTTTTCAAATCTTAAAAACGTAGTATAAAATAAAATAAATAAATAAACATTTCACCCTATGAAAAAATACTAGAAAGTGTGATGAAAATTTCCTGCTCAGCAGAATGAATAATGGTTAAGTCATTAATTCAGACCACAGGCCTGACACATGTTGGCTGTGCAGTAGACATGTTGAACATGAAACAGAATTGCTTTTGGAATCACACAGCAATGTTGAGTTTGATGTTTCGCATTTAACTCTTCATTATAATATTATTTTTATTTGTTGTTGAGATCTAACTCTTCAAATTTCTCCTTATTATAATTTTTTTTTTTTAGGTTTGTGTATCATAATAAATTTTAATATACCTGATTAGTTTTATTATTTAGCCAGATCAAGTAACTCCTCAACTCATATTTTTTATTATTATTTGAATAGTGCAAATGTTGATTAAAACCAAAAGATTATTTAAATTAAATTGATTTATGAATCAAATAGTTTGAAACATTATAAAATGTATTATGTCACTTAAATTTTAAATTATCTTTAAATGAAATTAAAGGTAAGCTGAATATTTATACCTTATCAATATAAAAGTATGTTTAGGCCTAAGTTATTGATGTATTAAATTTAAGATTAATTTGTTCATCGATTACTCAGTGTCAAATTGTTTTAAAATATTAATAAAATTAATATTAAATAGTAAAATATGATTAAGACGTTACAACCACTTTTAGATTTAGAATTGTCAATTTTTGTTTATTCCAATTTTATCTTTAAAAGATATAAAAATGAAAATATTCCATCACATATTTATTTTGATATCTCAACTATTAAGTATAAGAATAAATATATTTAATGAGCATTAAAAATAAGTCATTATTATTTATTTATATTCTAATAAAAAGTCATCCATGCTGAAAATCACAACATTTCATACATATTAGTTTATATATATATATATATATATATATATATATAGAGAGAGAGAGAGAGAGAGAGAGAGAGAGAGATTTTTTATTTAATATTTATCTTTTTCATTACTGTAGTTTGACGATTAACTCTACATATGTATTTGATTATGAATAATTAAGGATTATAAAGTAGTAAATCTTAGTATTAGAGTCTGGGATCATATTTATTTTGAGTCATTAAGCATTTATTATGATAATATTACATGTATCTTTGCGTAAAATATGAGTATAATTTATTTATTTATGTAATAATGGGTTAAATTATAGTTATTGTATAAATGATTGCATAAAATAAACTAAAAGAGTTATTGGGTGTATGTATGAACACTGAACAATTTAAAGCAGTGTAGAAAGGAAAGCATGGGTGTGGCATGCAGTAAGACCGACAAGTAGAATATTGGACGTGGAAAATGAAGAAATAAGCGCGTCTGAGTGTGGAAAAAGTAATTGATGGTAACAGAAGAAAAATGGCAGAAGAATACACTTCACGACTTCACAAGTTTCAAACATCACCCATTGGATGGTTTGCCGACAACATAGTCATAATATCCTATTCTTTTTTAGTAATTCAATATTTATTATATGGAACATAATATAAAAATAAATATATTAATATAAAAACTATTATTAAAACAATAAATATATATTCATTAGTGTATTTGGAATTGTAAAGGAAAGTATTCTCTAACTTTAATTCGTTTTATCCAAATGGGGTGATCTTGCCTAGTAACGGTAGAAAAATTTATGTTGTGGACACCAAGAGTCAAATGTATTATGGATTGGATTAAAATAGTTTAATAACAATTTATTAGTAAAATATATGCCAATGCTTACGAATTGAATTTATACAAATTAATAATTTACTTATATAAAATAACTTATTTTCATATCTATACAACTCTAAATACTTAACTCGTTGCTTAATAAAATAATTTATTTAAATTTATAACATTTTAAAGGTGTTTAACTTATTGTTTAATAAAAAAATACATTAATCTTATAAATTATATTTGAGTTTATTTTGAGAGTTATTAAATAAGTAATTACATTAAAGTTAATTTAAATATGACAATAAGAATTACTACAAAATTATCTCACCGAAAATTTCATGTCTAAGCATTTTTAACTACTCATATTTATTAAAACAAAACATTTTTTTAACATCAGTTCTAAAATATAAATAATAGAACCGTTTGTATTCATATTTTCTTTTTACAAAATAAATTAATATATATATATATATATATATATATATATATATATATATATCATAACAAACCTTATTTAAAAATAAAATAAAAACTCAAATATATTGTTCTGTCTAATTTCGTGAATATGTTTTTGTTTTAAATTTTTTGTTTATATATTAATTTCTTTATTTCTATACATCATGAGTTTAACTTATATTTAAATTCCAACATATTCAATTCCATAATTAAAATCATGACATAAGAATCCACGTACACTATATTTATGTTATAAGCTAATTTACTTCATTTATTTAAAATAATAAATTGGAAAAAAATTTGACAAATAAGCCATGAATACAAATGTAACAGAAAAGATAGAATGCTCGTTAAATTCTCTTAACTTTTGAAAGTTTTGTAACTAAAATCCAATTGAATTTAATTTTAATATATTTTTCACAATTATTTTCATAATAAGTGTTTCTGGAACAAGCAGTAAAATATGTCTTTAAGAACAAAAAAAAACTTTATATACTTAACAACGTAACTAACAAAAAAGCTTTATAAAATAAATTTTCAAACAAGTTACAAATTTACATTTCTGAAAGGTTTAGAAGCAAAAATTGGAAGAATTAAAAAAAAAAAAGTTAAGAAGAAAAAGTGCAGTTACGAAATTAAAATAGAAACAAAATTTGAGTCAAAATGATTTTATAATCCAGCTACAACGTCTGAATATACAAATGTAATGTTACTTTAGACCATCTATATTTTAATAACCATTTATTTACACACAATTTTGAAAGGGCTAACAATACAATTTATTTGAATAAAAGTATATATCTGTTTTGTTTTTAATTTTTTTTAAATCAAAACATCATATAGAATTATGCATTTAAAATATTTTAACTAAATATTTTAGGAATTGTTTATGAAACAATTTTTTATTTGAGTATTAATCAATGTTATAAATAATATATTTTTAAAAAATTATTTAAATAAAGTATTTTTAAATTTATTTTTAATTAGACTTATATATTATTAATACATAATATTTTATAAAAAAAAATAAAGTTGTCTAATATAATATATATTTTATTAATTTCTTTTCTTTATTTAATATTAGTTTTTTTCTCTTTTATCATTTTTTTCTTAATTATCTTATTTATTAATTAAAAATAATAAATTGAAATTTGATAAAACGATTTTTTATTATTTGAAAAAATATTTAAATGATATAAAATTATTTTAATTTTTTATTATATTTAAAAAATATTATATGATAAATTTAAAATATTATAAATATTAATATTATATTATAATTATTAAAAAATATATATTTATTTTAAAATAATATTTTTAATGAATTTTTTTTGAATGATCTACTCAAACGAGTTATTATAACTTAATTATAGATTAAATTAATAAATACAAATTTATTTAATTAAAGAATATATAATATTTTTAAAAATAATTTTAAATAAATGATTTATTACTATAATAAATAAATAATTACTATATTTTATTTTTAATATTAATTTTAAAAAAATTAGTTTAATTTTATTAAAATTCAATACAATAATTTAATAAGAATAAGAAGTAAAAGAGAGAAAAAAAGATATTACAGGGAAAAAGAAATAAAGGAAAAAAATTATGAAAAAAATTAAAATTAAACAAGTTTATCTATCAAATAAAAGTTCTATATAAATATTTTTTAAATATATTATTTATAGAATTAATTAGACAGAAATTACAAGTTACATATCAAATTTAATAATATATTAAATAACTTCAGTTACTTTGTTAGTCTGGTAACATTTTCTTTAATATCACCTCTTTTCTTCTTTAGGAAAACAAGTACTAAAAAAATTTGTCAGGACTTAACTCCACGACCAAATGCTAAGCAGGAGAAGCAATCGATGAATACAGGCAACAACACTAATTAAGCACTTGAAAAGAAGAAATGGCATCTATTAACAAAAGAACCAATTTTTGGCTCAGCATTTAAAAGGGCTTGAATCATTAGCCATTGAACCGAGAAGTTGCTCGAAAATAGAACAGAACCATGTTTAGTAGAGATTTTACAAATATTTTTACAAAGGTTATTCTAAATTATGCAGTTTAACGATAGAAATTCATTGAACATTAGGAAAATTCACCATATTTCTAGTATGTTCAAGCCGATAAAATCATACTAATATTTTCCTCTGGACTGTCAAATCAAGTTTTCCAAAAAGAAAGGACAAACACTAGTTAGAATTGGTGCCTCTCGATTACCTGTAACTTCAATAAAGCAATAACGGTATAATAAGTTCCTATAAACATCAATGTCGCAAGGGATGTAGTAATTTCGCTGGAAAACGAATCCAATTTCAGACATGTTTAAAACCCAGAGAGTAAAAAACACTGATCACGTCACCCACTGATAGAATCGAATCATACAGCTTGGCCATACACAGAACTACACAATTCAGAGAAAAAAAATTAAGCAAAGACAAAGAAAAGGATTAAAATAGAAAAGAAAAGTCATAGCTGTAGTTCAAATTTCACATATGCTTATAACCTGGAAAAAGTAACCCTAAACTCGAACCATAAGCACACCCTTCATTACACCCAAACCAGAAAAAAATAAATAAAAAAGCAAAAATAAGAAGCATTTCATTTGAGACCATTCCCCGGTGTTGAAATCGCAAGCCCAGGCCATGAGAAACAGTCTCCACTAACAAACCCACCTTCGCCACTCTCTAACTGCCACGCGCTCATGCCAGAAGACGGAACGCCGCCTCCAATGTTGGCACCATCCACCATACCGGGGAAGGCCCACCCCGACCTGCTAATCCCGAAACCCATGTCCTCCAACCCGTGCCCCAGCCCAAGCCCAAAACCCCCGAGGGCGAGAAACCCGTTGCCCTGGGTGTTGTTCAGCAACGAAGTGAAACTCCCGCAGACGTTAACGTTACTCTGTTTATTAACGTCTCCGTCAACGAAGTGCATGGACCCTCCTTGGGTTGTGGCGACGGGGGCCAATGCGGGTAGAGTGTGCTCCTGATGTGACGTCATGGTGGAGGAGGACGATGAAGTGGCAGTGTGGTGGGTGCGGGAGCGCTTGGCGTTCTTGCGGCTGCCGCCTCCGACAGGGATGTCGCGGAGGGTGCCGCCGTGGGTCCAATACCGGCGGCACGACTTGCAGAAGTGGCGCGGCTGGGAGTAGTTGTAGTTGTTGTAGTAGCAGAACTTAGTGTTGGTGGACTCACAGCGGGGGCAGGGGAGATTCTCTTGCTCCGGCGGAGGCGGGGCTCCGGCAGCGCTCTGGGGCTTGGTGGCTCGGCGGCTCTCGCCGGAGTTCGACGATGGCATATTGTGTAATAGGTTAAAAATAAAAACAGAAAAAAGAGAGTGTCGAGGCTTGTTACGTGAGAATGAAAATATGGGATGTTGTGAGTGAGGGAGTGAGTGAGCGAGCGATGTGTGAAGAAGGTGTGGGGTGTGAAGCGTGAATGTGGTGTGGTGGGGTGGGTGAAGGGGGTTTTATGGGGGAAGGAGAGAGACAGGGTGGGGAGAGGAAATGAGAGGAGGAAGCAAAGAGAGTCAGAGAGAATATCTGTGGTGGAAACAGAGACATCTTCTGAGGCTTATATGAGGCAGAGTGGGATCAGCTTTACAGTGTTCTGTTAAGCACGACATTTCAGTCGGCTCCAGAACACCCTCTCTCTATTTGGGTCGGCTAATAGGGCTGCGCCTTCTGCACACATACACACCACCAACCCACACACAATTTACACAAACCCCTATCTTCCCCAATCCAATCAATCAAACTAGTTTTTATTTTTCCTTCTTAGGACGACTTAATTAATTACAAGTATACACAAAGTAGTGGAAGCATTATCTTGTCCGGTATTATAGTGCTTGCACGGCAACTTAGATGCATGCATAATGCATTTTGGCTTTGAGGAAGTAGTGATAATTATAGAATGTAAAACTACCCAACTGTTTTCATTAAAAAAAACAAATAAACATAGATTTTGTTCACGATTACCTCTTGTTCCAACTTCTCAAGCTAATCATGCCATCTTGTAATATTATATGCATATATTCGTTTCTCCTGTCTTTTCCTTATTCAATCGGGTTTGACGTAGAGCTCGTAGGACCTACGCTATTTAGCTAGCCCATCTGTGCTGTCTGTATGCATCGAAGTTCGATATTTGTTGTTATTAACAACTATGGATAATGTCACACTCTACTGATTTTAGCTTTGCAAAAATTTCCGTCTGGTTAGGCAAACATAACCCAATTCATTTCTAGAAATGTGACTAGAGGCACATGTAGAAATGCTTATAAGATAAGAATATTTTAATTTTTTGCAAGGGACATGCGGTTGTTATTAGTTGATGAGTTCGAATTCCAATTTGGAAACCTAACTTTGATTATGCGATGGAGAAACTGGGGAGGGTGGTGGATTGAGTGGGGGCCATAATAATGGCCATTGGTGCAACGCGCGATATGATTTTTGGAAAACGTGGAGGCTTGGAATGGCGATTTTGGTATGGTTAGGTTGGGAGAGTAGTAGAAAAATTGAAGGGAGGTGGCGGGTAAAATAAAATGTGTTGTAGATGATAGAATAGGAATAGGAATAGGAATAGCATGAGATAGAGACAGTGTGAGAGAGAGAGAGAGAGAAGAGAGAGAGAGAGAGAGGAGGAGAGGAGAGGGGAGTGGGTGGGGACAGAAGCGACAGAATTATGAGTGTCGGGCAGCGTGGGGAGCAATAATTGGGTCTCCCCTCTGATTTCGGACGCGTCATGTCCGCATCAGATTCCTCCTCCGTACCCAGTCTTTCTATCTTCCACCGGATTTTGCGCTTCACTGTAGCCATTACCAAACAGTGCGGTTTCCCCAACTGCACAAGCACCACTGTGCTGACCGTTTGATAACGATCAAACGGTGGTGTTCCTGTCCGGTGGGGTAGGATGGGGAGAGACACCTGTCAGCGACAGACCGGTGGTTGTCGGTGATAGAACGAGCGGAGGAGGCACGCGCCTTTCGAAATGCTCTACCCACAACTCCCTTCCTTGAGAGAGAAAGAATCATGGGTCGCTGTCACTCCCCAAACAAAACTTGGAAACATGGAAAGTGGAGACCCTTGTTTCTTTCTCGGAGCACCCAAAACACACACAATCGCTATCATCCTCTCTCTCTCTCTCTCTCTCTCGTCCCACACCGCTTATGTTTGTGTTTATCCGTAGTAATAATAATCACTGACATTTTTTTGCATCCTTGCCTTGCTTCTCGCTAGTCATGCCATGGCTTCAGACCTGTAATCACCTCTTTTTGGCCTTTTCTGCACGCACATGATTCCCTTCCACTCCATCAAAATGAAATTGCTTCTTCGCACGCTTCTCTCTTCAAGTGGGGTACGTATTATTGCTACTATACCCAGAATTATTAACCATCATTCGCAAAAAAAAATATTTCCTCCTTTTACAATTTAATGCCAACATGTCTGAACACAGATGTTTGTAAACTTTGGACTCTCAAGCCCTCGCATTCATTCTCTTTTTATGTTTTTAGCCAAAAAAATGTTGTATACGTAGACAAGAGACACTAGAAAGAAACTTTTTGAGTAACTTTCACTTGCACCAAAATGGTTAAGAAAAACCTATTCAGACCAAATAAGGTCTAAATATTATATGTATAAAATAAGGTGACATAAACTTTTTAATATTTCGTCACAATTTATGAAATAAATAAATATTTAACTTTTTTTATTCACTATATTATTATAATTCTTCCTTGACTAGAATCTCAATGTTTGACTTTAATAAAGGCTAGAGAATTAGGTTCTTTTCTTATTAAATAGGCCATTCGACCAGGGACAGAACAAAAAACATATTTGGGAGACCAATTTCATCAAATAAAAATATATCTATCAAATTTTATTTAAAAAATTTAATAAAATATTCAAAATGTTAATCCTAATTATTAGAATAGTGTTGTTTTAGAGGTCAATTATAAGACAAACACATGTTCTATAATATATTAATATTTTTTAATAAAATCTTGTGTATGTTAGTCCTAAATTTTTAAGAAAATGTGATATCAATTATATTCTTAAAATATATTAAATTAAATTATATGTATTATTTTTTAGATTATAGTCAATAACCATCTAATAGATTTTAAATTTATTGTTGTGTATTAAAAGCAAAATCTATAAGATATATAATTAAAAATAAAAACTATTTTCTTTTTTAAGATTAATATAGTCACATGTTTGAATTCATGAATAAAAGACTGTTAGAATAACAGATTATCATATATATAATAATGAAACTTTAACAATAAATTATATTCAAATATTTTATTTAAAAATAATTATTGTATCATTGATCTTAAAAATAAGGATAAATAAAGATATTTGATTGAAATACATGACACTATTCGAAATGGTAGATAAGATTATATTTTTTTTAATTTTCACATAATTATACTCAAATATTATCTTATAAAAAAGTTTAATATTTTTTTCTTCTCATTATACACTTATTTATTCAATGATTAGAGTTGTTTCTGGTGAAAATTGGATTGATTTCGATTTATGGGGAGTTGAGCCCTAATCAAATCTCGACCATGTAGATTCTTTTTACTTAGGCTAGCAACTAGTTTTCAATCGAAAAGTGCATGAAAATCGAGAATCTCATGAATGCAAACAACATTATTTAAAGTGCAAATCGAAAGTATTATTTTTGGTATTTTTTATTAAGTAACGCGAAGTAAAGAAAACAGTAAAATTGTTGAATCGAAAAGCGGTGCAGAATATTAAATTGCAATAATGTAAAAAATGCGGAGACCTCAAATTTGCATTAAGTGTAAATGACAAAGAATCGAAAATTGCAGAATTTTAAATAAGCGGGAAATCGAAATTGCAGAAATGTAAAAATAGCAGGAAATCGAAATCGCAGAAATGTAAATAACAGAGAACTTAAACGCAGAACTTCAACTTAAAAGTAAAATAACAAGGAATTGAAGGTGCAAAAACTTAAAGTTGCTAAACGTAAACTTGCATCAAATTAAATTGTATAAACATAAATTACCAGGGAAAGTACAAAAAACGGTAAAGACAATCAATGAAAATGGAAATCCAGATCGCCAGAAACTTCATGATTTCGTCGTTTTCCGGTAGACTTTTTCACTAGTGTTTCAGTTCTCTCTGCCAATTTCCCCTCTTTTTCCAGTCTTCGCTCTATTTATAGAGCATCATTCAAGTAACCTCCTAAGAGTGGTTAATAAAACTGACACCACGATCCTACGTGCACGTATCTTCAGTCTTACAGTAAAAAACTGCATTCCACGTTCTCACGCATAAAAGAATTGCTCCCTTGATCTTCTATTTCAGACATCGAGTATTTTGAATTTTGCTTTTGATTTCCTTTAATTCTTAACTTTTCACTATTCTAATCTCTCGATTCTCTTCAACAATAGACATCGAAATTTGTTTCTTCGATTCTCGATTTTGATTTTCAATGTATTTTTATCTTTGTGGTTACCAGGTGTCTTTTACCATTTTTATCAGTTTTTAACCAATCATATAATCTTTAATTTTTTTTTCTTTCCTTCATTTTTCGATCTTTTTACGATTTCCCACTAACAAGAGTATAAAAAGTTTTCGTAAGTGATTTCCTTTCTATTCAACATACTTTAGAACATCTATGAGGACACGTTATACAGTTTGCTCGGCATTCTTCTTTAACACATGATTTTTTTTTTTAAATCGTATAAAATATTTAATTTGAAAGTATCAATGATTTTCAATTTTAATATATAATATATATTATTTTAATTTTTGTGATAACAATAGTATTATTTTATTTCAAAATATAAAATAAATTTAATAATAAATATTATATATTATTATATACATATATACAAAATAAATAGTGGAAAATGAAGTGAAATGGAAGAAATTATTTGAAGAAAAGTGATGAGGTATGTCTCGGCAGCAATCAACCAAGGAAAAAAAAGGATATTTTTGTGTCACTATTTGTTTCACTAATATTATTCCTTAATACAAAATATAATATATGTAATTTTCTAAGCTAAAAATAAACTATTAATTACACAATTTCTATCGGTTTAATATTTTGTATAGAAATGACAGTAATTCCACAAATATTTCTAAAAATGATTTCTATTATTAAAATTATTATTCTAAAATCATTTCATTTTTTTTTCTGATTTTTAACCACTTTCTGCTAAAGAAAGTTCTAAGAGTAGTGTTATGCTTATTTTTCTGACCTTGCTCTATAACTTTTTAAATTTAATTATAGAGTGTATTCATTATTTTTAAAAAGATTGAATCTCTTAGAAATTCTAGAATTTTATTTAGACTTTTAGAAATAAACCACAAAACAAATAAGAAATACAATGTACATAAAATGGGAACAAGTGACATAATAGACCATGACAATGACAATTTATTCAAGATGCGGACAAGTAACACTTTCTATTTTTTTTTTATTTTCTTTTGATTTTTCTCCTAAACCAAAGTTACCATTATTTTTTTTTGCATGACCTTCCACTCAGGCATGCTGCTAAGGATAGAAGTAGGTAGGCATATGGTATACCTAAAAATTAGGGAATATTGTACAATGTCCTCAAAAAGATGGTCCTAAATTTTAACATGTTGTAGAAAGTTTTGTGCTATTCACAGTATTTTGCCCTAAAGAATTGTTAATTTTAATTTTGGCAACACTCCTTTGACATGGCAGCTCTTCACCTACCTCATGGGTTAAACTAATTTTACATGGTGAGCACAATAAAACAATTTGTAATTTTATTTTTTCATAATATTTTGTACAACCTGACTCGCTTAATAGGTTAGTATCATAAATGTGAACGACTTCGTATAATTGTATGAATAAATCAGTGCCTCTAGAGGTTGGTGAGGGACGAATGAAGTGGACTTGTCAGAATTATATAAAATTCCAAAAGAAAACAAAAATAAAAATAAAAATTGATGGATTGATAATAATGTGAGTGATATAGGTTGGTTTGGTTTGGACGACTTTTTAAACTACCAAGGCGCGGAATTGTGGAAAATACAAACTTGGTATAATCTATTGCAGAATGGTCACCATCAAGAGGGACAAGAAAATGAAATTCTCCCCACGTCTAATTGAGACCATAGCGACTCACTTTTTCCATGCACCGAACCAGGGTCAAGTGTTGTTTGTTAACATGTCAACATAATTAAAACTCAGAATCAGACAACGTATATAATAATAATAAGAAGAAGAAGAAGAAAAGGGGAATCACGATCGTAAATTACGTTACGTTGATTGCAGTAAATAATGGAGGAAGGCACAGGAAAAGGTGTTGCTGAAAGGTACAATTGATGGAGGATAAGTAAGTGGGTAAAATAAATAAAAAAAAGGAAAAAAGAAAAAGAAAAAGGGTGTGTGTAATTGTGAAGTGGCGGTAGAGGAATGGAGGTACGGAATGAGAAGAGAAGAAGAAAAGAAGATCAAAGATCCCTGAGTTGCCTAAGATTGACAGGAGATATGTATCTGTTGTCTCCGTCAAGTAGCTGCTTAGCGAGGATTAGGTTTGCAGCTTCGCTTGGATGATAAGGATCCCAGAACACGTGCTTGTACCTATCGCTGCACATACTCGATGTAGGCCCACATGGAATTATCCCTGCGAATTGGCCCCCATTTCCGCAGCAAGCCCTGCTCGCTGTTGAGAATCCTGCATTTTTATTTAATAACAAAACCCTTTTATTTCAATCCAACTTCACTCTTACAAATCTATCATCAGTAGTGACATACTCCAACAAACATTGTTCACATCCTCGCTAGTCAACTAACGCACCCCAGATAAAAACGAAACGAAATAAATTATTTACCGTATTTCTCATAATTTTTTATGACTTCCAACACTAAATCATAGACATTGGCTAGGACGAAGGTGGCTCCCGGTAGGTTGTCGTTTAGCTCAGCAACCAAGTCCTTCAATCGAGCGTTGTATTGAAGCGCCAGTTTGTTGGCCAAATCCACACACTCATCTTCGTTCAGTTGATTTATAGTCTTCTG